ATATATTCAGTTATCAAATGATTTTTCAGCAGTTTTAGTCGCACACATAAAACACCCTCTGAGCCTTTGTTGCAGGTTGAGGCAGGTGGGGCTCCTTTGTATTCGCATTAGATGGAACATTGAATTGACGTCTGTAATTCAATAACATTTCCTTTGTCCGGCTGACTATTTTCTGGAAGCAGTCAACCAAAGAAGCCTTATTAAATCTGTCTGTGCAAGACGCGTATATATCAAAGCCTTCCAATGCATCAAAACAATCAAGCAAGCTCCAGGTGTCACTAAGACTTTGTACCAGTTACACAACCATATGGTTAAAAACCGTCCACCTGTCTGCCTGTGATTAATCACCATGGCTTTTAGGTTTTTCGATATGAAGTTTATGAAAAGTGAGATTAGGAACGGTGATAGGTGAGGCCTCCATCTGCCACTTGTATAGTGTTGGAGGGCCATTGGTAGGGGGGACTAGTGCTATATCATAACATTGACACTAAACTCAGGAGTTAAATATTAAAAATACATTCAAGTCCATTCACTATGAACAACAATGTATCTTATTTGTGTATCACTCGGAAGATCCTCAAATCATCTCTGAATTGGTGCTGACACTGTCCTTCCTTCTGGAGGGGGGCTACTTTGTTCCCCATGGTCTCTGTGTGTGTTGTAAAGTAGTCACCGCTCCAAGCTCGCTCCCGGGATGGACTACAATCTCATGTTTAGATTACTGATTAGTAATAACATTGTAGGTCATCCTGGGAGCGAGCTTGGGAGGGCCGACCGTTCTCCACGCAAATGACAGCTGGGCGGAGCAAGCCGTGATTTCACGGCCGGCTCCGCCCAGTTGTAATGACAGATCAGCGTGCCCAAATGACCTGGGGATGCTGATCTGTCATTAAACAACAAATGGGCAGAGCCGGCCGTGACATGACGACCGGCTCCGCCCGTTTATTTGTTTTTTTTGCCCGGGTGCCAGCCAAAAGTAAATAGTTGGGCGGAGCTGTTTTACTCCATCAGGTCCACCTCTGCTAGTTGACAGCAGCAGTAGGTGAGTGCAATAGCCAGCCTACTATTTGCTATTCCAATTTAAAATGGCCAATAGCAGCCTAGCTATTCCTACCTATGCTGTTTGTTGTTTTTTTATTACTTTACTCTGACGGCAGCCTGCGGCAGCTGGCAAAGCAATAGAAAAAAGAAACATAGCAGGGGAATCAGCAGATAACAGGGAGCTGATGCTTCCCCTGTTATCTGATGCTTTTTTTTTTCTTTGTATTCAGACAGCAGCTGCAAAAAATAAAAATAAACAGGGATTCGGCCGATATCAGGGGGGAGACAGGCTAGGATTGGTCAGGGCATTTTTTTTTTCAATGGGGGTCCCTCCTAACATTTATAATGTTTATTTATTTGATTACATATTGCGGAGAGACTGTTCTCCCCGCTTCGGCTGTGTGTTAAACTCAGTCGAACCGAAGCATATGCCTTCGGCTCGACTGAGCCCCTCGGCCAACTTTGGGAGCTCTACGGGCTATAGTGAATAGCCCGTACAGCAGCCCTTTGGTTCTACTGAACCGAAGGGGTCCTGGGGCCGAAGCTAGCCGAAGGATCAGCCGAAGCTACGGCTAGATCCTTTGGCAGCTTTGTGAATAACCCTCTTAGTTTCGTTTTGAATGAAATTCAGATGGATCTGAATTTTTGTTAAAAGAACATTTGCATTCATTTGCATTAGGACTCTAGGTTCTAGTTTGGAAATTCGGATGCATCCAAAAGTCAAAATTTAGCAAAATTTATATGAATATCCATTCAAATTAAACAACATTTACATGTCTACTGTTTAGCAGTCTTATCAGTTACATTGTTCTCAGCTATTTCTATTTAACACAAATCACCCCTGTTGAAGTAGTAGTAGTACGGCCCAGTAGAGAGGGACTTTGGACTGAAAATGCAGTGTACATTGGAAATCAGTTTGAGGCTCTTCTAAAATGTTTCTTAATTCTTTGACATCTGAATTTGACCTGCTTCTGCATGACCAGTGGTGTATTTACCTTTGCTGCTGCCCTAGGCAAGGCAGCAACGCCACCCCCCCCCCC